CATGGCTTGAAATCTCTGTTATTCCAGCGAGTGCAAAGACATGCTAATTCAACTTTTAGATCGGCAGACACTGTGTTACAGAATAACACACAAGAAAGGTTAACACAACAATGCGCAATTTATTGTGGGTAGGTTAAATGATGACATCTGTTCTGCCTGAACCAACAATGCGACAGGCATTTTTACACGCTCGAATAGCGGCTAGTGTTAACAGGTGGACAGAGACACATCTCTGTATAGTCAATAAAGTGTCATAATACAGTGAAACTTAAACAAAAGCAAGTTTGGAAACTATTCTCACCTTTACCAGATTAATTCTGTTGCTGTCTGGACTCTTTAACAAAATCCGAAACACGAATTCGTGTGGTTAAAACGTTAACAGCTGCTCACAGACGGCGTAGATCTGACAGTCCCATCGCGGACAGCGAACTCATTCTGATTGGCTACACCAATGAAACATCCCGTCACCTCGTGAACTCTTATCGCTCAGCTGAGGAAGAAACTCAATTTTATTTTCCTTATTTTTAGACACTTCTTAGCAGCCAATGGTTTATTTTACTTTGTTTGTTTCTTCAAGTTCGTCTTTCGCCTACTAACAATGAAGACATTACAAAACACGATAAAGTTATTATCCCTGTGTGTCATTTATCACCACGCCATGATGACACAGGCCTTTGGGAGAACGGAAGTATAGCTCCAAAGCATTCTTAACCTCGGCACTATATGCAGGTAAGCGGTCGACTCTGGCCGATTTCGAACCCGCAGAGAAGGTTCCGGTCCTGCCCGTGGTCTAATCACAAAATGGACTGAGCTATCCAGTCTCATCCGTACTGAATATGCATACAATAAACATAAAATACATTATTTATCCTCTGACAGTATTCACAGGGTTGTTTGTTTACACAGTCAGAGATGTTAGCGTATTAATTTCACACTAATCTGACTTAAGTGCACTGATAACTCATCTTTATTATTTTATAACAAAAAAAGACTAACAATTAAAACAGTTAACACGGCCATAAGAATTGTTCTGTAAGGCCAAAAATCAATAAACAGCGAACAATCACCAATCAACCAACACTGATAACGGCAGAGATGCTTAAGGATACACTGTCCGCCAATTTTGAACTAGCTGAAAGATATTTATTCATCTCGGTATAATATATTTCACGTCGATTCATTGCTTGGTCCTGCTTTTGGGTATAGTCACCACGTACAAGTGGGCTGTGTTGCACATAGTGACGTTTCAAAAGAACATATTACTTCCATCTTCAGGGCAACACGTTCCTCTGTAATTTCGGGCAGGATCAGCATTTTAAAAGTTATAAAACGAAAAACAAAAATGTTCCTCTTAAAGAGACAACCCCAAAAATTTTTATTCCAAAAAATTAGTCGAATTGGTGTCCAAAATAAAAGACAGAACTCGATTTTGGTATGTGAAAGATTCCAACTCGTCCCTTCCCAAGTAGACGCTGGTATGTAAAGTGAGGGGAAGCTACCATCCACCCCGGTCTTTTAGAAGCAGCAAAGTCACTAAAAGAAATGATTTTACTCACCGAGTCAATGAACGATACGAAAGTAATCTGAACTTTTAAATCGATTCCGATGATGCAGCAACTCCTGCCTTACAGAACATATTAACAATTAACAGCAACCATCAATTAACAGTTTCAAGATTAGCCTATACAAACGCATTTGCAGAGTGAGCTGGGAAAAAAAAAGACTAGTCTGCGGACCTCAATTTGACCGCGTTTCTCATATTGCGCAACAGTGATCTACAGTTAAATGTTTTTTTTTAACTACGACAAATGACACATTACTCCTGTAAAGTGTGTCTACTGACACAAAGAACACCTAGCCTCGTTTGTAATTAGATGATATTAAGATTCGCGATGTAGCATCAAAAAGAAACGAATGGTATCTCAGTGATGCCGCGCCAAGACAGAAATGCCATCTTGTATACACAAACTCGGCCAAAGGTCACTATCACACCCAGTAGCTCAATCATTTGTTACAACATATAACACGGTTTGTGGGCGGAGTTACATATCTCATGACATTAAGCTCCGTACTTTGTAGATGATACTGTTTAACCTTGCCTTCATGCACACACTTTTATTAACATAACTCCACGCACATTACAATTAGTAATTATTTGTGAAATTAATAAGGCATTCACATTCTGTACATAACCAAATCGTTACATACTATTCCTAAATTACCCTCAATAATAATACCGAATCCTTAAAACAAATATGTTTATCTAATCGTGATTATACTTATATAATACTACTTTGAATGTTTTCACACTTGTACGAAGTCATGTGATGGTACGATCAAACTTGTTTTTCCTAAGTTATTTATTGGTTACAAAAATGATGAATGTGTAAGATAAATTAAAACACGATACGTTTCGGTCTGACTCACCTTCGGATACAATTGACAGAGAAGTGTTCTTTCGTAACAGACGCTGCTGGACACACACACAAACACTCTAAATGATCAACACAACGTGTAACGTAAGATCACAACTGTGTTTCTTATTATATCACCAGTCGACCCGAGATAAAATGCCTCCGAAGTTCATGTAAGCACTGCACCTCCGATCGCTTAGTTCCCGACACGGTGTCAAAAACTTATGCCGTCTTCATCAATTGGTGCAAATTGCGGAATAACGCCCCACATGTTTGCGTACAATTCACGGCCTTACACCAGGTCAACCAAGCGAGAAAGTAAACTAGGACCTACAAGAACGATACAACATGTCAGTTGTCAGAACTTGTGTAATGAAAGTCCAAATAATTCCCGCTAGGTGGAACCAGTATATGGAAAGTTTACAAAGAATCTTATTGGTGATACGATACTGACGACATCACAGAGACCAATCAAAATGGCAACAGGAAGATTACAGACAAGGCACGAACGTTCTGATTACTTATGCAGTTCTACTCCCTTCACTTTCATGACTGATGCCAATAAAGCGGAAATGATACATAAACAACGAAAGTGCTGTAGTCAAAATACAATGCCATAAAATTAAATAATTACAAGTCTGTCAAAATCAACAACGATATGCCCCTCACTAAGTCAACATTTCTAACTAAGCAACTAGTTCCAGGGAATGGAGAAAATGCATTAAAATATGACAAAACTTCTAAATTTGCCATTTTTACTTAAATTTTATGGCGTGTACAATCGCATATTTTTCCAACTTAATATTCCTTTATTTATGCATATTTGTTTGCACCTACGAAAAAGGATGTGACATAAGGAAGAATACAGCATAGCAAAAACCTTTATAATTTGCATTCTTCACCAAGTATTAATTGAGTTACAAAATCAGTAAGTTGGGCAGGGCATGTACCCCACATGGAAAAGATCAGAAATGCATAAAAACACAAATGAGACATGGGAACTGCTATTGCCTGCTCCATGGAGTTCATTATGTCTAATACTAAAATTTCAACAATATATTTACTTTACTATTCAGGATTTATTTGGCTTTTCTTTGGAAATTATGGTTAAGCTTGGTATTGGAATTTTAGGTTCAAAATGCACCTAAAACCCTTTTAAAATGTAAATGTGTAAAAACCCCTTTTTGAATAAAAGGAATGAATACGATGTCTTTACTTAAATCCGGATTATTTCTTAAACTTAGGCATTAGAAGAAACAAAACAAGCCATGAAAATGGAATACTAGGATAATGAGCTCAGTTTCATATTATTGCATCATATATCAAATTTAGAACAAATGAGATGGCATAAGAGGTTGTCAAATACACAATAATTTTAAGAAAGTATCACATAACTCATAAAACATAGAAGTCTGAAGAATATCTGACAAAAGGCAAAGTTTTCTTATACAATAAACGGACTGCAACAACACTAATAACAACTATTGTACACCAACATGTGTCCAAGCACACAAAACCCACGCCTCAGACCACACAGCCACTGTGAATTAATTAGATTATCCTACTTACAGCTACAGTTCTCAAACTGTGGTACTAGTATCCCTTGGGGTACTAGAGATGCTACCAGGGATACCATAAATTCTCATTCATACACATACTTACAGAATGAATTAAATGCAAGTATAGAGCAATAGTATAGTTCCAAAATTTCAATCCACATTTCAGCTGTTTATGCTTAACTACTGTTGTAAGACATAGCAGAACTTAACTTTCTTACCTCTCTTGCAAAAGGTGAACTGCCAAACCAATTTGCAGTGATGGTGGTATGTGGCTGTTCCAATGTCAAAACAATTTGGCAATAATCACTGTAAAAAAGTGAAACCAAAGTTATATAGTATGGTTTCTTTTTTTTTATACATTACTTCTATGAATGATATGTATGGCAGGTTTTGAGTTCTTAGTATGAGATCAGGTGAAAGTTGTGTGAAGAAGAGCATACCATTAGTAGTGAATGTTAAAGCACAATAGTGACCCCTGAATGATCCATATTTTACAAATGGATTATTGTGTATTGATGTTTGGTTATGATATAAGAAATGATTCAACATATTTCTTCATGATAAATCTTATTTAATTCATGAAGGTAAGGGTATAATATTCCCCAATGTTTTGATACAAAAACAGTGGCGACGACGATGACAACAACAACTACAACAGTAAGCAACTGTATCTGTAGTTGGTGTATCTAACCTCACATATTCAATCCTGCTATATTACATTGTTGTTGGTGTTAGAAGAAATCAGAGCACTTACCACAATAATTTAAACGTCTTGCTAATACACTGTATGCATTCTCCCACAATTTAACGTTTGTTTCATAAACTTCTGAACTTATGAGCTGTGCTTCATTATACGTCTTGCTGCTTCCAATAATGTGGCAATTCCGGTAGCCAGTTCTAGCGTTTTTGTCTCTATAGCGCCTCCAGGCTAGTGAAGGATATGGATTTTGCACGGAATCAGCTAATGAAGTATGGCTGGAAAGAAGGTTTGTATTTAAAATTGATGTATTTTACAAACGGAGACGGCTTTTCGTATTCAATCGTAAAGAAGCTGTAATACAAATATATAATGTCGATCACGTGGAAGAATTATTGGTTTATTTAAGAGTAATTCGTATATCATAGGATATTGATTAGATTTATATAATTCAAAATCTTCATACAGAATATTATTTCAACAAAAGTCTAAAGTACTATCTGTAAAGAAGGGTTAGCAATAAATCTAACAAATCAACGCAACCTACCTAACCTCACAAACCATCAACCACAGATAATTCCGACCACAAACTAATTCTGGGTTTTCTATTAGTTGATAATAACGGATGAAGCTTTCTATTTTCCATTGCTTCTTACAGGGAAAGGCCTTGGACGAAACGAATCAGGGATAACAGAGGCACTGAAACCAAAGCTTAAGTTTGATAACCGAGGAGTTGGCCATGATCCTTCTGAGCAATTCACATATCACTGGTGGGAACATGCTTTTAATAAGGCAGCAAATAATATCCAAGTGTCTACAACTGATGTAAGTGAGCAGACATTCTGAAAAGCCAACATATACTACACCCTTGGAACTTGTCATAGCCTTACTGATTGGATCAATATGTTATGAGAGTTTGAGTCACAGAATTTGGGAAAATAGGTTAACACAAAAATAGATCCTTTACAAGCCACCATAACTGAGTTGTAAATGATACTTGAATGTAAATAAAGGTCTCATCATGAAGTTAAGTTCTACTTTTACTAAAATGAACATATATTTGATACCATATGTTAATCTATCCTTATAAAACAAAATGAGTGGGATCAGAACAGATGCCATTAGGATTATAAATGTGAATTTACTTCTTACCTGTACTTTATAAATTTCAGGATGGAGTTGCAGTGAAGTTACAGGATGAAAATATAGATATCACAACTACAAAACATTCAGTAAAAGGTGTCAAGAAGAAGAACATCATGGAATATGGAACATTTCTGAAAGTATGTCAGTGTTATGAACATTTAATGAGCATTAGCACAAGTAGTGCATGTGCCCATTATTGGGCACATCACAGCTTAACTACATGTCCAACCATTAATAAATTTATTTTTCTAAACCTGAGACTGGTTGCCTGTGAAGGCAATGACAAACAAGAAATGAAATATAAAACTTGCAAAGGCGTGGTATATGATCATGAGTTAGCTCAACTGTAAGATACAATTTGTTTGTTGAAAAGTGACAGAATATTGAGATGACTGATATGGACCACCACAGGTCATCTGCTTCTTAGGAAAGGGCAAAGATGATGGAACTAATATGCCAACTTTGTTATATCACCATCATAACTTCATTGATTGATATAATCAGAAGTACCATATTCATTTATTTTGTTTGTTCCATCAAAGTTATATTTATAATTCAGGAAGATTTTTTCTCTTTCAATACCTGCATATTGTGGGAGCCACATACAGGCAGAGACTTGATTACACGAATAATGGCTAAACTTTGCACCATATTAGAGGTATCTAACAGTGACCATTTAATACCAGAAAAATTACAGTGAAAGTTTCCACTTGTAGACTTGACTCTCTTGTAACATCAGAATAACTTTTTCACTGTGTTTTGGTTTCAGACATCCATGTTGACAGAAGGAGGGCAGGTGGTAAGAGTTGCGAAAGACACGCTAGAAGTACCCGAGTCGAATGACCCTATGGAGACCGCTGAGAGATTAACAGATGATGATCTGTTCAGAATATGCGGCGGCCGCACTGCACACAAGTAAGACAATTGTCCAGACATTGTGTAAAGTAACACATATATGCAATTTCATAACAAAACGTACAGAGATGACGTAATGGTTAGGGCTGTTTGTAAAATACTGTATTACCTAATTCTGGCTGTAGTCCGATAGTAACAAGAAGTTATACAATCTCAGAATAACTGGTCTCGAGCCATGATATGGACAATAGTGCCCCCCCCCCCCCAAGGAAAAAAGAGTGCTAAAGCACAGACAGTGGTCGGGGTCTGGTTTACGATTTTTATGATCTGTAACATCCATACATTTTTTTTTTTTTTTGCTCATTCATTGACCTCCATAAGAGCTGGCATAGCTCAGTCAGTATAGTGACTGGCTACGGACTGGGCAACCGGGGTTCGATCCCCGACGGGGTCAGAGGATTTTTCCTCTCGCCTCTGCGTTCAGACTGGCAGGGTACAGACAACACAGTTCACTTCAAATGAGAGAGAGCTTATATTCATATTGCGATTAATAAGTTCTTTCTGATTTTAAATAATAAACTGATATTATTTTAATATTTCATATTTGTAAACAGATAATCTTAAATGTTCCAGGGGCGCGCGACATGGCCTGAAGCTGAATGGAAAATTAGCACGAATCGAAGAGCAAGAGAGGCAAATGTTAGGTTACGCAGATGAGGACACGGAAAAGATGCTGAAGCAAATCAAGGCAAACTTAAAAGATGATGATAATAGTTCTTCGCAAATTGAGTCTGTGGGTACAAAAACAAATTTGCTACACTTAGAAAAGAGTGGAAAGGAAATATGGAAAAAGCATAAGAAATCTAAAATAATTCGTCATAAAAAAGGTGCAGCAGAAACTGGAGATATTCAAACATCTCAGCTTCACGACGAGCTACTTTATCCAGAAAATAATACAGCCTATACTGAAAGAGTTAAAAAATCTAAGAAAGTGGACTCTCATTCTGCCATTTCCAATGGAACCCTGAAATCTGGTCCAAAAAACCAGATGCACCTACAAGTTGAAGAAAGCACAGAATCTAAGAAAAAGATAAATTTAAGAAAATCAAGAAGAGAAAATGAAGATCGTAAATTATGTGATATTGATCAGGAATATGAAAACATAGCTTTACCATCTTTTGGACCAAGAAAGAGAAAGACAAAACAGAAAGGCATTTTGTTAGAAGCTACTACTCGTGTGGACACATCAATGATAGATGTGGATCAGAAAGACTATTTTGGCAAATGTAAGAAGAAGAAGAAGAAGAAAACAGAATCTTTAGATTAGTCCATCATTCAGACAACTCCTTCTTATGATAATTCGGTGTGGTCTAAAATTGTGATGTCATGTCTACGATACTTTCCTCAGTAATCTGAATTTTATGTTATTATTTTATCAGACTTCTATCAAAACCAGTTTAGTGAATTTTTTTTATCCATTTCCTGTTTTATAAAATAATGCATCAATTTTATGGCCAGTCTTTTAAGTAAAGCATTTTAATTCCAGTTGACACAGACGATTTAAAACCACCGTATTACGAGACTGATGATAAATGATATATAATTAGATGGTAACCTCTAAACGATTTTCTTCAAACCTCAAAAGCTCGTAATAACCAAGTAATTCACTTGAGACCAAGACAAATTAAAATGTTTCCAGTCATAAACAAGTGAGAAGTTACATAAGATATGCAAATTCAAAAAAAAATACTGGAAAGATGAGTTACAGGAAGTTAAAAAGTGTTCATGCACCACAATAGTCATGATGCGTTCACCAGAATTTTTCATTCAAACTTACTGTAATGATTTTTTTTATTTTCACTTCAGTTTACATTAATACTACAATGATGTTAACATACAGAAAATTAAATAAGCTATACCTTAATAACATTAATTATATTTGCACCCACTTTATAATGTAATGGGAAATAAAACAATTCAAAAGCAGCACAAAATTTATAAATTATTCATGGAACAGGACATTTCTTAAGAAGCCAACAGCCACTCCGTCAGTGAAGCAATTCCCTGGCCTTTCCGGAACCCAATCGTCAGCATTACCACATTTACGATCTTACCACTGGTTCCTCTAACCCCTGCGTTCAGATTGGCTCTGGGGCCCACCCATCCTCCTATACGGTGGGTACCGGGGGTAAAGCGCGGCTGGGGCGTGATGCTGACCACTCACCCCCATCTAGTGCTGAGGTTAGGAATGAGTAGGAGCTATACCTCCACTCCCCCCAAACGCCTTCATGGCGAATAGTGAGACAGCTTTACTTTTACCAACAAATTTTTTGACGTAAATACGTCTATATTGAAAGGTTATTCGGC